CTCTCCTGCCCACGGGAGTCTATGGGGTGAGGGCACACACTTCAGGTGTGTCGGGCCTTTATCTGCCTGAATTTAATCTGGCCTAATTAGCAGGCATTGGGGCAGTGCCGCCAGCTTTTACTTCTTTTTAATCCCCCAGCAAACCTCGGGCTCCATTGGGATACCAACCATGCCAACTCGTGCTCTCTGCCCTCAGCCCCCTGGCTCCCAGGACTTGCCGAAGAGAACAGAAAGTGGGGCCATGGGGTCAGCTGGGGTCTCTGCAGCTTCCAGGCGACACAGCTGTGGCCCCAGTGAAGGCAGGGGACCCACAGAGATGGAGCTAGTGGCAGCAGGACTCAAAGAGGCTAGCCAAGGCGGAGCTGAGCAGCACCCCCAGACCAGGCACCCCCGACATGATGAAAAACCAAGACCACCCCAGAGGTTCTCTGCTTGGCTTCTTTTCTCCCCACATTTGACTCTGAAGAATGCCGGAGTGAGGAACGGTTGGAAGACAGCGAATACCCAGGTACCTTTTTACCTAGAATCATCTAGAGTCAACACTTTATTGCCTTGGCCTCCTCTCTGTACAGAGCCACACAGCCCCCATCCCACCATGTGTTTCTAGGACCATGGTCTGTCACCCCTCTGTGTTTCAGCGTGTTTCCTCTTGAGAACACCCTGTTGTTGCTTCCTGCCTTTGACTCAGGCATGGGGCACCGGGAGCCACACTGTCCACCAGGCTTCCTTCCCTTGGTTGATTTTTGAAAGGAGACTGCCAGGCCTCTCTTCCTAGTCTGCCTCCGTGTGGAAGCCCTGCTGAAACCAGTCCAGCCACACGAGAGCATCCACTGGCACATAGCAGTGGGCACTGGGAATGTCCCTCAGGCCTGCCACAAGGAAAATGAGACTCCTACCCCGCTCGCCCAGCAGACCACACCACCACACCCACTGCCGTCAAGTCCACGCTGACTCGGAGCGACCCCCTAGCACAGGGTAGACAGCCCCTCCGTTTCTGAGACGGTGACTGCTGATTTGACTGCCTGCTAATTCACGGGAGCAGACAGCCCCAGTGCTGGTGATTTCGAATAGTTGGCCTTGTGGCTAGCAGCCCAATTGGTAACCATAACGGCACCTGGGCTCCGAGCAGTCCCACAAGACCCAGCATTGCTTATTTATCACACCTGAGAAGCTCATGTCACCTACTTACACCATTCATCTTAAAAAACATCCCAATTACCCCCAAACTGCCCTTCGAAGAGGGAGCTTCTCTCCGTTGTCCCGAGCCAGAACCCAGCGTAAGACAGGGCATTGCATCGGAAGTCACACTGTCCCTCCTGAGAACAGGTCCTAGTCTCTGTGCCCTTTATCTTGAAGAGCACCCCCACCCCCCTGTTTTGTTTCCGACACCAGCTGCCTCCCAGAGCCACCCACCCTCCTCTGACAAACAGCGCCAAGATGTCTGTGTCCCATCTCAGACAGGGAGCCACCGATCAATGGAAGTCTGCTTGATGGGAACGACCCTTGACCTTCACCCATGACCACTGCTGGGGAGCCTGCCCGATAGATCGTGCAGGCTTGCTGGACCCACACCTCCACGGCGTGGCCCGGCCACGGAGCTCCCCATGTGCACGCACATGCCTGTTCTCCACTGCCCACCCCTCCCTGATCCCGATGGGAGGCCTGAGGGGAGGTTCCAGGAATACAGGGTCACCCTCCCAGTCCCCAGGTGCTGAGGAGGGGAGGGGGCAGGGAAGGAGGAGAGAACAGTGGTCCCGGAAGACAGGGAGGGGAGGACCCAGGGAGGATAGGGGAGAGAGGGAGACGAGGGGGGTGGGGAGAAAAGCAGAGGAAGGGGACGGGAGTGGAGATGAGTGGAGGGGGAGGGGCGGCCACTGGGCTTGCTGCTGCTCCAGGGTTCAGCCCTCCCCTCCTCCCCCTCCCCTCTCTGAGTCTGCTGCCCCCAGGGGCCCAGCGACCCTTGGCAACAGCTGGAGGCAGCAGCAGCCCAGGGCTGCAGCTTCTTCCCGGGAATGGGCTTTGTGAGCCAGAGGCAGCAGCTGGCCTGGACCCCAGGGCCCTAGTGGAGGAAGAGGCAGTGGATGGGATTAGCAGAGCGGTTAATGGGGAAGGAGGTGGGAGGGGAGAGGAGAGTTCTGCACGGGCTGCATCTTGAGGGTGGGGGGAAGGTCTGGGCCCTCTCCCTCTGGAGCTGACAGCCGCTGAGGGAGCGCCACCTTCCAGTGAGCTTTGTGAGCAGAGGAAGCACACCTGGCTTTGCTTGCTCTGGGGAATGAAAGCCTCTGTCTAGCCCGTAAGCGTTTCTTCAAGGGCTTTTCAGTGGGTTGGCCCTATGAGGTGCACACCGTGACTGAGGTCGGGTGCTAAGCGACAGAGCTTGGAGGCTCTAGTTCACCTGGAGGTGCCTCGGAAGAAAGGCCTGGCTACCCCTTCCCCCAAATCAGCCCTGGA